GCATTGGCTACGTATCATAATAAACAAAAAAGTAGAAGTAGGTTATCTTTGCCATGAGGGTAGAATCTAGTTTTAACCAAAATCAACATAACCGTTTGTACTATATTTAATCATTTCTCTAAAATGATGCCCCTATGGAATTGCATTATTGTGCTGCGCAGATTTACATATTAAGAATGAATGAGTCAGCCATTGATAATTGTTACGGAAGACTGCCAAGCAAGCACTGCCTACAATTTTGGGACTTTAGTAGATTTATAGTAGAAGTATGTAGAAGTATTTGTTGGTCTAGGTCTAGGTTTTTACTGTAGCGAATTTAGTAACCACAATCTTTGTTTTATATGTACAGCTTGATCAACTTGATCAATTTATTGGAATAAAAATTGACAAATATAAAACAGTATACAAAACGGCTTTATATTTACCGATAGAAAAATATACTTGTCAGAAAAACTCCAGGAAATAATTTAATATTGATCGAAAAAGTCGAACTCAATGAAGACATGCGATATTGCTAAAGCCTAGCCTTGAATAATTTACGGACAAAACGTAATTATTCCTTTGAAAATTTTTCAAGGGAGTCTAATTTTGAAACGAGAATTTGTACTGTGAGCGAAATAAACGTATTTCAGTTATTTGTCCGTTTTCGATGACAGGTTTAATAAACATAATTACTTTGGTATATTTTGCTCCGCAACAGCGGTTAATTAGATACAATTTAATTACAGCTAGGAAAAAGTGGGCACACTACTTTTAATTATAGAGATCATATACTATCAGGTTAAAATTCCGTTTATCATATTTATTACAGACTAGGGAATTTATTCTTCGAATATACAAAGGTGGATATTTCGCAGATAAAATCGACAATATTTGAGATATACTTTTGAACAGGTGATTCAAGTTGTGAATATTTGTTCCTTTCATAGACTCCAAACATAAACATGAAATAGTATATTAAACAACAAAGTTTGAAAACGACTCTTTGCACACGAGCGGGACATATTGGTGGACCGAGCCGAAGGCGAGGTCCACAAGTCGAGCGAGTGTGCAAAGAGGTTTTCAAACGAGTTTTTTACGATACTTTTTATACGACTGCAAACAGAGACCACAAAAATCAAATTTTAATTTAAATCGTTTTTATTACTAAAATTGCCAACGCATTAACAAAATAAATTAAATACAACTTTTAATTTAACTCGTTTTTATTAAGAAAATTGCTAACGCATTAACAAAAGAAACTAATATTTAATATTTATGGTAACATTTGAACATTCCTTCAAGGTTACGCTGGGAAAAGCAGTATTATTGTGCACCTTGTTTTCGGTAATAGAGAATATTTTTGGTGTCGTGTTTTTAGTGCAGTTTTTCAGCGTGCGGTCGTTGTTTTCTTGTTGTATTCCAGTAGACGATCGTTGTTCTGGTTCTGTGGCAGCAGAAGACACTGAAGACTCTATCTTTTTCGAAACTTCCATTTTATTTCTCAAACAGTCATCAACGTAGCCTTCGGCAACTGTACTGGATTTCCACCCTCCATGGCGTTTGAGGGCAAGCAGATTTGAGCCAGAATTGACTAAAATTGTGGCCGATGAACGCCGAAAACAATGTCCCGTGTAACTTTCTGGATTCTCTAGCATCAAAAACTTGGCGATTTCCCTAGCCATGTTTCCAATTTTGTTGATGCCAACGTTTTGGCTTGAACATTTTCCGTTTTGATAGTTTAAAAAAAACCTGCCTGTCTTCAGATTAGGAGGACGAAGAGCACAGTACTTTTTTAAGATAGTGTAAAGGTTTCCTGTAATTGTAAAACACCTTGGTACCTTTGTTTTTGTATTCTTCAGTTTAATCAGCATAGCACTGCCGAAATCTTTGGTGTCTTCTATTTTGAGATAACATAATTCCTCCCTTCGACATGCCCCAGATAGTCCAACTGCCACCACCGCCTTGATAAGTAAATATTTGTCGTCTGATGCTTTCGTCAAAAACCGGCAAAAATCATCTTCTGTGAGGATTTGGGACTTCTTTGGGACGTAGTTTTCGGATTTTCGTTTGATTAGCGCTTGCAACTTTTTATAGCTTCCAAGATCTATGTTGTGATTGGCACTTAACGTTGACTTGAGCATCGAAAAAATCGTCCACAACGTCGAAGATTTATATTTCTTAGATAGTTCTTCAAAATACACCATTACTGCGTTTTCTGAGAAAGTTTGGACATTTTTGGCTAGTCGCCAGTCCATAAATCGGCTTAACTCAGCTTCATAACTGCTTCTGGATTTTGTGGGCAACAGTTCCGAACATATTTCGCTTGCTTTCTGTCAAATCTCTTCAGAATCACACATTTTCACACCCAAAGTTCGGGAATTCAACAATTTTTGAAGTATATAATCAACAAATTAAAGGAGCCGTGACGGTTGCTATGAAACTCAGCCAACTTGAAACATTGCATAATTTGGGTGACAACATCAAACAAAAATCACAATCTGGAGACGCGTGTGCAAAGATGACATAACCGTGTGCAAAATACCGTTTTCAGAGCGCGTTTTCCGTGCGCAAAACCCCCTTTTGCAAAGCAGTCGTATAAAAATTTAATTAATTAATAGTAATGTAATACAGTCCTTCCCAAGTCAGTTGAACATGTATAAAAGCGCCTAGCAATAAAATTTAATGAGTTTCATAGGGGTACCTAAAAAAGTTTTCTGCTAAAGGTAAAAAAATTATAATAATTTGTATATAATGTGTAGATAATTTCTATTATATGTTCATTTGGCCAACAACATATTTTAATTATTTATGTCTTCCAACAATTTTATTATATTGATGGTAAATTTAGTTTTCTTCCGTTTCAAAAGGTCTCCAAAATGCCATGTTGTAATAACTAAACAAAATATTCCTCTTATTTCTCTCTTGCAATTGTAATATGAATGATTAACAGAAGGCGCCTATAATAAATTAAAATTACCTGAATCACACCAAATTCCGCATTGTTGCACTGCACTGCTAGGCAATTTGTCAAATATTTGTCAACAGCTGAGATTTATTGCCCATTCGCCCAGTTCGACTGTCTATGTACGCCGTTTGCCCGCGCGCGCATTCTTCAACTGAGCGTAATACATTTCTACCACCCCCACGTTTAGTTCGACCAGATCTGTACATGGGTGTGGCTAAATAAATTTTAGAACAAGTTTTTCAAATATTTCAATGCCGAGTTACTGCGTCAGCGACCGAACCTTGTACATACTGCCAACCTTTTGGTTCTTCAATTGAGATCGGAAAGATTACAATGTAAAATTTTCTTATGTGACTTATGTGGGAAAACTACAGAAAAATGGTCTAGTATACAACATATCGACCCTATTATCACGTAGAGGCGTATGCGTATATCCAACTCTTGGATTATACGCCCCTACGTGATAAGAGGGACGATATGTGTACATACAATTTTTTGTGAATATAAATATATTTAGAGTGTAGTTCGACCTAGACTCCTGAGATGATTTAGACCAATTTTCTTGTACATATACATATATAAAAGTCAGTACCTATACTTAACATTTTTTAATGTTACTTGAAAACAGTTTTAGAGTGTTCTTTATTGGTTTGCATCTTTATTTATATCGAATTTAATATACTTATTACCAGAATATGTAAGAAAATCATAAAAGTGTTATTTTTTCTAATAATCACCTGCTCAATCAACCCAACAATTTTATACAGGATGACTTATACCAGGTGGCGAAAAATTAATAATAAGTATAGTCCAGAATCCAGCTGTAAGCAGAAAAGGCGAAATATCAATTTTTCCTATCAAGCTTGGTTTCACAGAGAATAAGATTCACAGCTTTCAAAAATAAATTTCAAATTTTACAAGAAATAACACTAGGACATAAAAAAGTCTATGTGTTATCTTTTTGCACAACCCTTATAATGATTTCCAGTAACAAAGAAGACATTTTTGGTGAAAAGATAAATCTGAATTATTATTTTTATATTTACCCATCCAATTCTAATGTACTGGTTCGATCTTTTAACTGAATAATAATTTTTTACTACTTATTTAATTATACAAGGTGTCATTTATTTAAAAATTTTCATTTCATTGTGACAGAAATACCCAATCAAATAAAAAGAATGTAAGTTTTTAATATCAGATTTTGTATTTTTACTTTAGGTAATTTAAAAGGTATTCAGTTAATCCAATTCTAGTCTAAAAATTTTACTAAAATTGACACCAACATTTAGGTATGTTAAAAAGCATAAATTTCAAATAGAGATTATTAATTAAAAAGTAATGCTATAGTAGGAAAATTGCACCCGCTGTATCTAGCAAATAAGTTTATCTTTATCAAAAAGGTGATGTTAATTTTTGCTAGATATTGTGAGTGTAATTAGAACTGGACTGGCTTTAACGCGATTTAGTAAACAGCTGTTTCCTACAATATTATTAGTTATGTTGGTGTCAAAGAACAAATATGACTTCATCAGATGAGAATTTTTAGAAAATGTTTAGGTGTGGTATGAACTAGCATGATATCTTTAGGTCTCCGCTCACTACACAGTAAGGTTTTAGTTTCTCCTAAAACGAGTATTTTTTTTATAAAATTTTAAACTTTTTCTAATAGGCCATTGAACATTCTTTCTCAGATTGCTGTTTTCTTAGATCATTAATCCAGTACCGTCTAGGTCTATATGAATATATCTCCCTTCCTTTTTCATTTCGTTCTAATTCGTCTGAAGGGCAATCCTACATTTAAAAATAGATACCTATTTATCAAAAAATATATTCACACTGCGAGAAATCTGGATTGAAAATCTGTCCTGATGAGCGGCAGACACCGAATATATTCCACAAACCGACTAAATACGTTTCGCTTGAAATTATGGTATGATCCGATGTAGTGGGCGGAAACCTTAAAAGTAAAGAAAATGCAAAAGCTGGTATTAAAAACGCATAATGAAAGAAAACATTTTTTCGTGTTCGTTAATAATTGCCCAATTTTCAGATTTCTGACTGGCGATTTCCCTACAAGAAGTCGACCCACCCCGTATGCGTGCACTACGGCCGCAACAGAGCTTTCGTGACACTCCGGCACTGCGAGGAGGGCGTCTTGAAGGGAACAGATCACTACGAATATTTAGAAGCGGACGATTGCAAGTGCCAACTCTGCTCTTCCTCGGACACGAGTTGCGAAGGACTGAGATACAGACCGCATAGATCTCACCCCGACTCATTGGGATTTAGATACAATTTTAAGAAGTAAAGTTTTCCCGTGATGTAATCCGTTACAACTATGCATTATAACAAATCGGATTATAGTGCCTCGGTATGTTTAAAATATTGTCGTACATTATTTATATTATTTATGAGTGGCTGGAACTTTTATAGACAATTTTAAATATATCTGGGCACGCCTTTATTGTACTATTGGTTTACTGTAATTGGCACCTGTCGTTTAAATAAATGTTTTTGTGATTGTAATTTATGATCTGTCATCAATCAGTATTATAAGGTAGTAATAATTGTTGCATATGTCTGTAATTGGGTACTTCAAGAAATAAACTTATTTATCTAAGCATGGATTATGTTTTATTTTGCTTATTTTTTTATACATTATTTTGGTACATTTATGTCTTGACAAATTATTACAATTAATTTCATAATATGAACCAATAAATAGTATTTTTATCACCACTTATGTACTAAGAAAAGTTTATATTTAGCAAAAATAATATGGTACCTACCTGATTTTTTTTGGGAAGTGTTACATTTTTTGTGATTATAAAAAAAGTTGACAAGCGATTCAAAGTTCAGAGATGTATACAAGGTAAGTGCCATTATTTGTATTTCTTTATAAATAGTAACCAAGAAATAGATATTCTAAAAACCATACAGGGTGAGTCTCCTAAATTGTCTGACTAATATTTTGAGACTTATTCATGAGTACGGGTGAGATACAGGGTGATTCACAAAAGGTGACCAAAAATGAAACCTCGTATTAGTCCGGTCAAGATAGACATTTCAAATAACGAAAATTCCGACAGTGCTAAATGTTGGTGAAGACCTTGGGTACACCATTAGAAATAAAGTGTCAAAAGTCCCCATCGATCCCATGTGTGCTAAAAAAATTATTCGGGGTGAAATGTCAAAATTTGAGGTTTTTTGGATTTTTTCGAAAACGGTAAGTTTTCTCAAAAAAGTTGCCCCGACAAAAATTATAGACCTTAAAATTATCTACAAAAATGGTGTTTATACTTTTTTTTTCTGAGAATCACCATTCCTGAGATATCGCGATTCTAATAGTTGAAGGAGTCACGTTCTACATTATATGCACACATTTCCACACTACCTGTGAGGTAGTGTAGTTTGGCGCGTTTTTTTTAACGTGGTTTTCCCGGTAGGCGTACTCCACGAAATGATGGAATTTTCAGGGACAATACTCTTTTAACTGCATGATGATTATTGATATTGGTTATTGACTTTAACTGTAGTTCTGATTTCTTTTGATATTTTAATCTGATTCATACTCTTCAAAGTCGACTTCAACAGTTATGTCTTCTTCGATTTCTTCTTCTTCTTCCTCTTCTTCTTGCTGGATGTTCATAAATTGTTCAAATGAAGATGAATCAGCTGTCTCTTCATCGAAATCACATGAATCTTCGTCTGTTGTATTCAATTGGACATTTGTGCAAGACTGGCTTTGGCAATTAGTACACGCTGGAGAACAAAGTTACCCTACTCTTTTTTTTTGCAATTGCAAAAAATAGGGTTTAGGAGTTTTTCCAGAGCAGGTGGGAGTAAAGTTTTAATCGGTTCCAAAGTATTATCGGTTAATTTCCAATCCCAGTTTTTTGGGTTCAGTTGATTTCCTAGCCATGTCTGAATTTGATAGTATACTCGATACAAGTGTTGATTAGCAGAAACCGATGTTGGAGGAAGACAAGACAGTTGTACTTGTTTCTTGTTTCGTGTGTTTTTTACAAAAGTTTTTACATATACAACAGAGTAGCCAGATGTTATTCTTTGGAGAATCTTATGGGGAGTCTTTCGTATGAAGTTTTATCTAGGACGCTTCGTTGAAAAGATACGGGGTGTTAAAAAAAATATTTAAATTTTTTTAAATAATTTAAAAACTGGAAAGTGAAATAATTTCAAATTGGGCACATGCATTTATGTAAACATTGTCCATAATCTGAGGCCCTTTCCTAAAATTTTGTTGCCCCAGTGGTGGAGATACAGGGTATCGATGGCAGATTTTTCTAAATAAATAGTACGCCACTGCTTTACATCATGATATTTTCGGATTCATCTTTCAATTTTCTACAAATTACTACTCTCTTATGATTTTTTCGAAAAAAAGCCTCGGCCTACTCTTCGTGGATATATTCCATTATAAAAATTAAGTAAACAATCCAGAAATTAGTAATGAACTTAGAAATAGTAATAATAATAAAGTAGCTGATATTTTAAAAACAATTATGGTAATAATAATCAAACTATTGACATAATATCAAAGTTGCTATCGCAGCCTACAATATAATTTTAAATCGTATTTTATTCGAATATCAATAATTCTGTTCGTTTTTTAAATTTTACTCGAAAATCAGGCTTTTTTCAAATAACATAAGAGAGCAGTAATTTGTAGAAAATTGAATGACTGAATGACTGAATGATTGAATCCGAAAATATCATAATTGTTACCGTAAAGCAGTGGCGTACTATTTTATTTAGACAAATTTGCCACCGATACGCTGTACCTCCGCCACTGCAGCATCTAAATTTTTGGAAAATGTTTACGTAAATACATGTGCCCAATTTCAAATTATTTCACGTACTAGTTTTTAAATTATATAAAAAAATTAAAAATATTTTTTTAAGTTTAACATTCTGTATCTTTCTAACGAAAAGCTCCCCTTAAAATTCACCAAAGAATACGAGTTTTCATTTTTGGTCACTGTTTGTGAATCACCCTTTATAACCTACAAGGTGTATTTTATATTAAATGTAGTAGTGACATTTAATGTCAACTGACATACGAGTACCTAAGCTATACTTTGTACCTACCGATAGAGAGCGACCCACTAATTTGTTGGCATTATAAGACTGATAATAACATCGAAACAACTAGTCTTTGGATTACAACTTCATCCACCATTGAATTACACCTGCAATATCTAGTAAACAGTAAAGATCATTTGTCAGATGAACCATTAATTTGTCGTCATACTGATGAAAACAAACTAATAAGTTCGAATCCGGTCGTTCAACTGACGAATAATCTTAACCGTTTACTTGATATAGCGGATATACTACAGAGCCTTCATAAACTAAAACCGCTGTATCTTTTCCATTGCGTCACAAGCAATATTCGTATGAACTAAGATGAAAAATCCTAGTCAAATTAGTCACTGTTTTCATATAATTGAAATGTCATCTTGACAATTCCCAAATCTGGATTTCTGACAAATTTTAATACTGGTGTTACTGGATATGAAAATATGCCAAAAAATCGATATCTCAACGCAAAGAAAATATATAAAACAGTTAGTACGGAGACGCGATCAAAACAACTGTCAAATTTTTAATCTGAGTGTAAGTTCTGTTTTTAAATGCGCTAGTCAAACTATAGTCTAAAATTAATACCCAACAAACGTCCTCCATTTTCTTTCACTCTAATACACATAAAATATTGGATCGGTTGTCTGTGACAGATTGAGACTATGAGTATACCATCATTGTATCTCTTTTTAGCGCGTTTAATAATGAATACACGTCCGCAACGACTGTCTTTGATATTAGGACACACGCGTGACGTAAAGGCAATCTTAAAACGGTTCTACTATAATTGATTACAATCCATGTGACCGCCGAGTTAGACAACCAACAATGCACGGTTGGTACTATCAACTACAAATTCCTAAATCTTAGCGTCACCAACATTAATTATACGTTTATAATGAACAATGACAAACCTTTACATCTACGCTCAAGATAATGCGAGCGCTGATTGGCTGAATAAAATCTCGTGATTTACAACAATCACCAGCTGATTAAATTTAATATAATCTTGATTTTATTATTTTAATTTTAATGATATTTAATTGCCAACGTGAAGGAAATAAAATTATTATCCCAGAAAAAAATGATTGACTGGTCATGTGGCTTATAATCATTTGCGAAGGCTCTGTATTATACAATGATTGTCAAGGCTCTAGTTTAGTCCACAAACAGCTAATATTTAGGATACTAATTTGCCCAGTATTAATCAAATTCCATATTGCATAAAGGGCAGCTTTACGGGAGTGATTATTACTGTCATTCCAAACTTTCTTGTTAAGGAAAAAATGTATAGTTTAATTGTCCATAGTCCATAGAATAAATTTTTTGGAATGGGCTAAAATAAAAAATTTTAGAATGTAATAATAACAGTCGTCTACGAAATTTTACACAATATCTATTTGAAATTTGAAAATATTCAAATCCTTAGTATTAAGTGCGCAAATTAGTGCCCAGATGCCGTAAGTTTAATTTCAAAATATCAATGAGATATATCGAAAGACTTAAATTTATCGAAAATACACACCTCCATTATTATCACTTTTGGAAAAAAGTTTATATACAAGGTGAGTTTTTTTCGATGTTTAATGTAGAGATCTGGGAAAGTAGCGAAGATACAAACAAGTTTAAATGAGGAAAGATGTAGGTACAGTTTTATGATCATTATTAAATGTTACTTCTATTTTCTGAAAAAACGTCATGGCTGACTCGATATTTGGAAAAATTTGAATTCGGTCAATTCCTTCAGATTCGTGTAGCTCCGTTGCTATTTATTTTACAAAAAAATTTTAAATTACAATGTTTCAGGTTTTTGCAGTGTTAATAAGACATGTGATCAAATTGTTCGTGTGTACTTTCGTTTTAAAGTTGTAACATAAACTTCAAGTTTTTTAAATGTAAACCATAGTTAGCTATGAGCTAGAAAAAATGTCTTCTTTTATGCTCTCCAACGATATAATATTTGGTATGGTTATTTTGAAAAATGGGAGAACTGCAGCCGTTTTTAACTATCTGCTACTTTCCCAGATGCCTATACTAAACATCAAAAAAACTCACCCTGTATTTTTTGTGCCATTATTCATCCTAAAAATATCGGGCTATAATTTAGAACCACCTAGTCCAACGTAACACAACAATATGTTAAAAATAAACTAGCATTTCGTTTAAGCATATTATATAAAAACTGGACTTAATTGTTTGCAATTTTATTTAGTTAGAAG